TGTACGGACATTTATGGTCCCTCGAGGAATCTTACTAACTTTGGTGATCCGCTGACTTTTCATCTAGCACTATTATTAAGACTAAATCTGAATTTGTCCAGTACTTTGCTTTATGACTGAACCTGAAAAACTAATGACATTCCCAACTAACTCATCTGTACTTTGTGTTTAGTGCTAATTAGCAGATTTTAGTATGCTAAGAGAGGCTAAACTAGGTAAATATCCCTTGAGAAACATCAGCATGTCAGTGTTGTCACTGTGAGTATGTTAGCATGCTGATGTTAGCATCTAGCTACCACTAAGTACAGCCTCACAGAATTGCTAGCATGGCTGTAGATTCTCATGCCGCATTTACAATACATCGTTTTGCTCAACTCAACTCACTTTCCCTTCAGTGTAAGTTGGATTCTCATGTGATCTCCATAGCAACGCTGCATTAAACTGCCCCAACATCAAACTCAAAGCAACACTCACCGAATCTGGATCGGGAACCAAAAAGAAGAACATCTGCATTTTGTCAATTGTATAACGTAGTGTAAGTTTCTAGTAATGACCTACTTGCTGTTGGCTATATAGTATGTAATTTCCATTATTTTAATTTCCATTGTTCAATAACAAGCCTACCAGAACCGCCCAACCAGCTGGTCAACCTGTGCATCACTACTGAGCAGTCAGTGGCCTGCATTGTTAACTTAATCATCTATTATTGGCTCACCTCACATGGGACCTGGACCGAAATATCAGAAAAATTACCAGGTGTTATCCACAACTTTTGCTAATGGAAAACCAAAAAGATCGAGTCAAGTTGAGTAGAGCCATGCAGTGGAAATGCGGATTTAGTTGCCAGGTGACTTTAGCTTGTAGGAAATTCAGCTAGGAGGAAGCCCTGGGAGGTTTGGGGGCCTCCAGGGACCTCAGTCATTAAGATAGATAGTTCTGTTTCTAGTTAGGACCCCCTCCCTCCATCACTCACCACCCCTCTGAAGGCAAATACTTGGCATCCATCTTAAAGCAAACATTCGGGATCTACCAGTCTCCTTGGTGCTCTCGGCTATCTTTATGTGGTCTCCTCTTTCGTCCGCATGGTTTCCTCTGAGTGCCACTAGAGGTCACAGCATGGGCCTCAGAGTCTTTGTTTTGCCCCATAATGGCTCTATTCTCCCTCGGCAGCAAGGACTTCCAAGCCTGCTAGACATAGGACACCATTGTGACTCACGGAGGGGTAACATGAGGCAGACGCACAGAGACATGGGTGTGCGTGTAGAGTTAAGTAAATTACTGTTTAAATGGTGTTGAAATATTAACAAGTTCCCCTTTGCTAGTGTTACTGACAAACCAAAAATAGTTGCTTTACCCACTGCAAGAGAAGATTGAACTGCAACCAAATAAGATATGTGGTGGAAAGGAGGACACTGGGCTTATTATTTTCCATTAGCGCATATGACTTATCATGGTTAAACTAAATTCAGTGAGCTGAGCCCACCACAAAACATTCATTTAAAGTCCTGGCTCCCTAGAGGCAACAGACGAAGCTGGGGGAAAATCTTGTTAGTATCCAATTACTGCAATTACTGTAAAAATAAGCTATATGTGATGTGATGTGTTATTATTTGATCTTCCTACGACGTTTTGTACAAAGCTGTATTCCAATTCGACACAATGTGATAAGTAGGAGAGACATCAAATCACTTGTTGGTCTTGTTTCTTTGAAAGATAAAACTACAGAAGAATTAGATTAGCTTGAAATAGACCTTTTATACTTTAGTAGTGTAGATTAAGTTAATTATCTTTATATACCCATACACAGTGTCTTCTACAGAAATACATGCTGTAGTTTGTCAGAGGAATGTGCAGCACAAGATGACCTTGGTCACTCAAGTTTCACATTTCTCACGAGAAAAAAAAAGCAAATGGCAAAAGGTCACAGAGCAGGTAAAAAGGGGAAAGGCTTTAGCACAGAGTAATTCACACAAAGCTGGCTGGTTCAGGTGTTTTATATGCAAAGCAGCCAGGTAGCCTTACACATCATATTGGACCAGTGCCGACTGGGGTAAAATGCTCTGGTGCAAACCAACGGCAATCAACAACATCAACAAGTGTATCTTGTACTAAAAGTCAGAACTAAACTATATCTACTAAAGCTTTTTGGCTCATTTTTAAAACATAGATACCTTTTTTGGAAGTACACGTTAACATTTTAACTGTTCCACTTTGTAGCTCATCTTCCTCTCATATGACAGAATCAAGCAGATCACAGTAACAGGACCAAAGAGCGAGACAAAAGCCCGTAACAATGAACTTCCTGTGTCTGTCAATCCATTTTCTAAACCTCTTATCTTGCTCAGTGTCTCAGAGGGTTGGAGTCCTTGTTAATTGATCAAGGGAAGCCAATCCATCACAAAACATCTAGGCTACTACGGATTCCTAGAGTTTAACCTGAGAGTCTCAAGATGTAGAGGAAACCCTTTTAGATATTCAGAGAATATGAGAACTCCACACAGAAAATCCCCCAGCCTGCCCTTATATCCAGACCCTTCTCGCTGCAAGTCGACAGTCCTAACCACTGAGCCGTCGTGCTGCCCCGACCCCTGTGTGTAGATTCATATTATCCCCCAGTGGAGTTTAGTTCTTCATTTTAAGTCTGCTCGGGTTGACGTGCAAATTATAGTCTTGATCGTATACAGAGATCTCTCCAGCAGGGCTCATTTTGTTTGAAAAGTTAGATTTTCTCATTCTGTCCAGTTTAGTTTTTGTCTTGTTATAGTCAACAAAATGTTGCTATGTAAAGATATAGTGGAGTATTGGCGTCCTTAGCAGAGATTAAAGTCACACTCCCTCTGTGTGCGTGTTGTAATCTTTGTTCTTTGTTGTGGTAGCCAGTCCGGCCTAGCGTACATGTTTATGCATGTGAGTCTCTGTGTGTTTCCCACTGGTTTATTTTTTCCCAAGCATGTTCAGCTTAGTCCAAAACATGCTTTTGAAAAAACAATTGTTCATCTCACTGGTTAGCTAATCGCCACCTTACCACTTATGATGCCATCCCAATCAACGGTGGCTGGACGATGTTATCAAGGAAGGGTAATGCCCACCCTTTTTTTGTTCCCCCAACATTAACACCATTAGCTCTGTCAGCACTGTTGCCATTATTAGCACTGTTAGCATCACAAGTTCCTAGCTACTGACTCAGTCAGCCTATGTTGAGAACTTTATACAGACTATCCAGGCCCAGACTCTGAATCATAGGTATGCTGAAAGTCATGTACAACTCATTTAGGCTTGTTTCAGAATGGTGAATATGATTAAGAGATAGCCATTGCAGTTTGTGGCATGTTAATTAGATTTGTTTATATTACATTACTGCACCTACATCAAATAATTTTACATATATGATGTACATATGATCTCAAGTTTAGCTATTGATGCATACCCTCAAAGTTTTAATACACTGTATAATGTAACCTTCAGCAAACCGCAGACTTTAACTGGCCACATACACCTACATATTGGAATTTTTTTGTGTCTTCCCTTTTAGCGAGAAATGAGAAGTTGCAGTTGTCACTGATGAAAAGCAGAAAGAGGGAGAGAAGGATAGGTACTGTAAAGCTGCGAGTGACTAAAGAAGAAAAGAAAACTTTCCAACGGACTCTCATTTTTTCCATGTAAAGTAATTCATAGGCAGGACATACAAATTACACAGTCCTGTGTCTCAGAAAAGGACGAAACAGACGAGGCACATTTCAGTGTAAAAGAGGAATTAGATTTAAGGTGGGGGAAAGTTCCAGCTAAAGGAGGAGAGGTAGTGGACAGACAGGGCGGAAAAAGAAAGATCTGGCAAGTAGTGAAGAATAAAGGCAGGGGCGACTGTTCCTGACTGTTTGTCTCAAGTAGAAAACGTGACTGAGCTGTAATCGGATCTCAGCTGTGGTGAGATCATACAGGAGGCCTGCCAGCAGCCTCAGAAAGAGCAGTCCACCCATAAGCCTTTAGCCCTAATGCAGCCGTCTGTGGCTCTCTGCAGGCTTGCCAGCTTAAATATCATATATAATTTTTCAAGAGTACTAGTTGGTCCTAGAAATTATAAGTCAGTGGAGGTAAAATGAGAAAGAACTATAAGAAAAAAAATGTTTTTAAAGCATCGTTTTGCATAAAAATTGATTAAAAGGTGGGTTTCATGCCATTTTAGATTGTACTTTACTATAAAAGCTTGTTGTCCAGTGAAAACCCTATATTTCCAAATTCTGGGAATTTTTTCATTGAAGTGAAGGATTATGTTCTTTTATGATTCAAAAAAAACATTCCTACTTTGATGTTAACTAAACCATTTCACAGAGTTGAAAACAGAGTTGCTGTTCTAAGCTAATGAAAAGTCAACAATTTGAAGATACATGATTTTCCCAGGATGGTGTCATCTGTTGTTCCGCAGTAACTTTGAACATAGATACTGTGTCCAATAGTTGTTCCCATAATAAAGCTATCAGTTAACTGTATGTGTAATAAGCAATGGCGCCAAGGGGAAAAATCTTCAAATCTTAAAGGTTAATTTAACCTGAAACCAAAGTCGCCAAATTCCTGATAAAAAAACTTTGCTCCTTCCTGTGTAATTCTAAAAACTAGATTATGTTAATAGTGTTTAAATCTGATAAAATAAATCCAATTACTCTCCTCAAATGACCGAGCACTTAGGACTGTCAGATTTCATCATGACCCAAATGATTCTGGGGGAACAGAGATCAACGGGGATCCTGGCACATGGACTATAGTGAGTGAATGAGCTGCCTGTGTGCATGCCCGAGTATGCAGGATTGCACAGAGTTGCATAGCTTCGTGTGCTGAGTCTATGACAGCTGCACACACAGAGAAGCTAGGAAGAAGTCACAGTTGACCTGAAGATTTCACACCTCACATTTACCCCCAGAGTGCTTAAGTTTTCTGTGTTGATCATGATACAAGACATTTTTTTTATTCTTCATAATTTATCAACGTTTCCTCTCCTCTCACAGTCACCAGACCTGCTCAGATGGACTTGAGATAACACCCCCAGAAGTTCCACCCTTGTCCCGAACTCCAGCCTTCCACATTCACCCAGAATGGCAGATCCCACCGGGCTGAGCGCTGAAGTGGCCGGGGCAGGCATAGCCGAGGTCGACGCCTGTAGTTTGGAGATAGACAGGAAGTATGATATCATCCCTGCCGTCATCTGCTCCATGTGTTGCCTGTTTGGCATCATCTACTGCTTCTTTGGTGAGGATCCCTGCTGGCTCACAGACCTTGACATCAAGGAAGCTGAAACTAAGTGATTTTGAATGACATAACACACCATCAAAATGCCACTCATAACTGAAAACTTCATAGTGCAGCCTGTAAACACGTCAGATCAATTTGGATGCTATGGAAATCCATTGCTATGGAAGCTCATTTCCACCAGTGTGATGAAAAAAGATCCTGTGATTCATTATTATGAGAATCTTTGTCAAAATAATGACTTATTACTATATATTTTGAGCAGAGCAACACAATGGTTTGAGTTTAAGGTGTGAGAAAGAATAGTATCAGTAACATTGTTAACACTGTGCTACATTACAGAAAAAGACAAAACCGTACTAATGAACCTTCATTAATATAGGCCTATATTTTATCTACAAGTGCACGTCACACACTGAGCAAGCCGTCTGTTAATGACGCTGTTGGCAAAGCAGTAATGATTGTGCTAAGTGGCTAATGGGCATGTAGCTACTTACGGGTTTCAGATGATGCGTCATGTTTGTAGTCGACCAATGAAGATGAGTTTAAATATCACCTTGGGTTCGTCCTTCACCTTCTCAAAATGATCCCACACTTTGGATTTCCTGCCCGACATGTTATTAACCAGCCTGTGTGATAACCGCAGGTACCAGCCCTGGAAATTAACATGACCCCTGTCTGACTGCTGAGCGTGGAGACTTCCTGTGTCTGTCCTTTCAAATTAAATTCCCACATGGTCCAGTCATATAGGTTTTGATTTATTTGGACTATTTTTCTTTTTCTGCAACTAAATGACCAATGAAATCTTGCCGACTAATAACCTTTCTGGTCGACTAACGTTTGGTCGACTACAAGGGAGCAGCCATAGTCCAGAGTTCATTTGTTGAGCTTGTACCTTGTGTACTTTATGTTAATATAAAAAGCTAATTGCTTATTCAGCAATCCTCCCACCTCCTGATTCCTCATTGTAGCTCTCTCCTGTCTCTCCTCCTTTAGGTTACCGCTGTTTCAAGGCTGTCATGTTCCTGTCCGGTCTGATGTTTGGCTCTGTCATCATTTTCCTGCTGTGTCACAAAGAGCACGTGCTGGACACCCAGCTGAGCGTGGAGGCCAGCGCGGGTATTGGCCTCGGTATAGGCCTGCTATGCGGCTTGGTCACTATGCTGGTGCGAAGCGTCGGCCTCTTCATGACTGGCCTCCTGCTGGGCCTCCTCCTCGCTCTTGCAGCCCTGCTGGTCACTCACCAGTTCTACACTCCAACCACAGTCTGGGTGCCACTGGGTACACTATTGGGAACGGGCATGCTGTTTGCTGTGCTGACACTGCAGTGGCAAAAGCTCTTCACCATGATCTCCACGGCTGTGTTTGGGGCAGCTATCATGACAGTGTGTGCTGATTACTTCGTAGAGATGCTGGTTTTGGCCACGTATGTGTATGACTGCTTGCGCCTCACACCCGGGCAACCTCTCTGCTGGTACAGCTGGGTCATTCTGGGCATCTGGCCCGCCCTCAGCCTCATAGGAGTACTGGTCCAGTGGAAACTGACGGATGACAGCTTCTCACACACTGAAGGTAAGGAGAAAATATCATGACCCTTTGAGTTCTGTTGAAGGGTTGAATCAAGGCCTATATTCATTCAAGAATGGAGGAGTAAAAAAAGTTGTCTTCAGAGTTATCAAGCAACATATTCCTACTGTGTAAAGTATAGAAGTAACAAGCTATTACATGTGTGCTGAGAGCAGGAACAGACAATCATAGACAAGGATTTATCCTACATCTGACCCTTTGTTTGTTCTTGTTTAAAAAATCCCTAAATCTTCTCAGGGATTATTCTTTGGAAGCCGAGAACTGCTGTGCTTGCAGTTATTGTATTAATGTGGGAAGTTTGCCCTTATCTGCTGTGAGGATCCAAGGACAGGGGGTGTCATGTGCTGTGAAGCCCTCCAAGGCAAACCGTGGTTTAAGATACTGGGCTATATAAATAAAATTGAATTGAATCGAGTTAATGCCATTATCTTGAGATTGTGAGTTACTGAATTCATTATCTCAAAACAAACAAACTTTCTTATCTGTAAATAACAAGATAATGAACCTGTCATAATGAGAGAAGAAATTTTGTTTCCTCTTATTAGGCAACTTATAATGTTTATCAGAGATCAGGATTGCCATGCCAACATGAATAGATGCCGTCTTAACAACTATAGCAACTGATTTAGGCTGAGAATGTCACATCAAGGACTATCCATTACTGATCAATGCATCAGACTGTATTTCAGTCAAGGCTTAACAGTTATGAATCATCCCTGACAGTAATGACAGTGACCATGAAGGCTGAAAGCAGGTGTGATCAAATGAACCAGACACTAATTTTCAAGTTCTCCATAATTATCCTGTGATCTCAAGAAAACAAAAGTTGTTGTCATGTAATAAATTATCTTTAGAAATCAGCTTTTTGTGTTCATGAAAATAGACATAATTTGGTGCATTATCATAGGAAAACAAGCTCTGTTATCTTAAGATCCTGAAATAATTAACTTGTGAGAGATACTCGCGAGATAACGGTATTAAAAAGATAATTGCAAGCACGGCAGTTCTCGGCTTCCATAAGTAGGACTAAAAGTGAGGGATTTTTACTTTTAGATTGATAAATAAGGGCCCGGATGTTTCAAGTTTGTATTTTACAAACATACATACTTAATTCCCACTACTAATGTATCTCATTGTCTGTCTAGAATTACTTAATTGTTTAATGTGATGTGATGTTTAAAAGCTGCCATTGAATTTCTCATTCTCTTTGTAGTGGTTATCAGTCGGAGACAGAAGCGCGTCCAGCTGATGCGGATTCGAGAGAAGGACGCCAAAAAGCGACAGCAGGCAGGTGGGCAGGAAGGCACGTACCGCCGTAAACCCACCCCAGTGAAACGTTACGCTGGGGATCTACTGGCACCGGTCAGTGTCACCCAACATGGCGTGTGCTGTAGATACTGATTACTGTGTTTTTATGGCATCAGTTATATCTTACCAGTGAGCCTAACTGATGCCATAAAATCCTTGTCAAGTTGACACCACTATTTTTGTGTGCCTCGCTCATCTCTTCCTATGTTGTTCTTCTCAGAGCTACCTGCAAAGTCTGCGGGACAGACAGATGGGCACAGGCACTTCCCTTAGCAGCCTGGGCACCGCCAACCACACCATGATTGACTTGGACTATGACACCGGCTCCACCGTGCCACTTACAGCTACGACCCCTGTCGTCAGGGTCTGAGCAAAACAGAGATAAGAAGGGACTACTTAATGCTCTCTGGTTCTCCAACTGTGTCTTAGTAATATAGAGTAGAACCAACACCCTGCTCCCCTCAGCTAAGGGCTTATTCTGCCCTTAAAGTGATGTGGAGCGAGTATGTGTGTCAGTCCTGTGTGTTCAGTGAAAGAGAATGCTGCTTCCTGGAGAAACGTAAGAGGTGTCACCTGTTTGGTGACAGCTATAATATAACCACTGTGTTTCTCAGAGAAACACTTAAAAACAGATACTAACAAAGTTAAGGTCCTCCATTTCCTTTTATCATGTATTAAATACATAAACAGCAAGTACGAGCCTCAAAAACGGATGTGTTTCTGTTTTGGTAGTGAATCATGACGAAGCAATTTGTTTGACATTACATGTACTGTACTTAAAGAATTAGCCATTGCCATTAAGTGTTGTGTTATTACCTGTCTTACCTGTTTAACTGTGTGTTCGTAGGATTTGTGATTTTCTCATTAAAGTGACTTTGTGTATTTTTTCAGATGGAGTTTGGTGAGTGAGTAAAATACAACATGCAGGTGGATATATGGAGTATGACAAAGTGAAGCAAAATGAATAAATGCAAATAAAAAAACCTGTTTCCTGTCAGAATAGGTGAAGAATTTAGAGTGTTTTGTATGCTTGTGGAGTCAACCTTTCATAATTTAATTTATATAATGACCAAGTACACAGTAGGGTTGAAAAAAGGACAAAAAACAAAGCATGTTTGTTGTTAATTTGTAGATTTTTTTAAAATAATTATCCATTTTGTTGTTTGAATTTTGCAGGGACAATGCACTTGTTACCTGAATCTGTACATACCTGTTGATAGAAATTTTGAAGATAAATAAATGTGTTTGATACAAAACCATTTTTTACTCATTGATTGACTCAGATAAATTTCACTGTTTGTCTCTTTGGGCTCTTAGCAACACTGGCAGCATTACTCACCAGATTTTTCATGGACTATAAAGAGGTCATGGGGAGGATTTCCTACTCTGCAACTGGTTGGGGTTGCCATGGCGTCCCAGACGTTTTTTTGCAGACAACACAATGCGGGACAGACTGGCCTTTCATCATAATGAACGTTCAATATTTTTCTATCCTTTTTTGTGGGAATGTTGAGTCACTCTTCTGGTGACAGTGAACTGCAATTAGAGAGACAATTTTACAGCAGACATTTTGTCTTGTTTATTTGTAGAAATGTTTACATTTTCACTTAAAAAAAATCAGGACACAAATCAGTGCCACATGATTTCTCACAGACCAGTGTGATTTTTTTAGATAATGGAAGTGTTAGTACCATTTAAGAGCACTGAACGTACTTTCAAAGCGTTGCGTAATTGCTTTAACAAAATGTCTGAACAGAAAGTGCACACTCCCATCATCATATTACATCTTACTGAAAGTATTAAGACACATAATCCAACACATATGTTTGAGAGAAAAACAGAAGGCCTCCCTTGATTTCTCCCTGAGATCATACAAAAGCTTACATAATTCTCACACTCACAAAAACACACGTTTGTGCTCAAGAAGTAAGCCCCACAAAAATCAGCCCGCTGCAGAGAGGAGTAGATTGGATTGAATTCAGATCCAGTGACATAAAATCAATTTCTATACATTTTTTTTATGGATGATAATTCACAATCAATCACTGCTGTTGAGGTTGCATGGTTGTCAATGCCTCTGGAGTAGAAGAACCAGCACCGCTGCTGTAGACCCCTTAATACATGCTGCCCCCTGATGGTCGACCCCTAGCATTGCATCCAGCGCTCCTTCTTGCTCAGGGGGTAGCCTCTGTCTACAATCAGCGTGTCACTCAGGCGCCAGTAATCATCCCCCTTAAAGTAGAAGACCTTGCCATTGGTCCAGGTGAAGACTGCATCCGGACTGGGCGGCAGTCCGGTGAAGAGCAAAGAGAGCGGTTTGGGGTAGCGAGTTAAGCCATTGTGGCCCAGCTCATCCCACTGCCAGAACTCCGAACCCTACACCGGCCGACAGCAAAGAGAGAAAAACTGAGCATTTCAGTCAGAGGAATAATAAATAAAGGACAATTCACCCAAACATTAAAAATACATATTTCACCTCCTACCTATCAATCTAGATTGTTTTGATGTGACTTGCCAAGTGTTGGAGATATCAGCCATAGAGATGTCTGCCGTCTCTGGCATCCTCCTCCTCTGCTGAGCTGTAACGTTAGCTAGCTCAGTGGTGCTAGGTGAGCTAGCAGTAGATGCACGCTTCCTTGTGTCGTGATATGGTTGACGGATGTAGCTTGTTAGAGATAAGATAGTTCCTACATGAAACTGCTCACAACAAGGTCTGTGGATTATCTTGAGTAACCCGGTCATGATTTCGGGACACACTGCAGTTGAGTTTTTCAAATGTGCTTTTTTTTTTCTTTGAGCACCACAAGCCAAGTGCTATCTAATTCTACTGTTTTGGAGAGAAGGCAGACATCTCTTCAACAGATATCTTTAAACACTTGGCAACTAACACCAAAACAATCTAGATTGATAAATAGCACCACAGGTAAGAGGAAACATGTATTTTTGATTTAGGGTGAACTGTCCCTTTAAATGCTGCTCATGTTTTGATACCTTGATAAACATCAGCCTCTTGGGCCTTTCCAGGTACAGGGCTGCATCAATATTGGCAGGGATCCGTTTAACGTCCTTGGGGTAGCCGGAGTCCAGCGAGAACATGGTGTACCTCCAAACTTTTTTGCCTGTGACCAGAGACAGTGTTCACATTCACACATTTAGATTCTGGACTTACAGCTGGAGAACAGAAGAGAAAACACATGACAGAAGTGTTGGACAACTGTACCCTTAAAAAAGTATGTCTTGTTGGTTCTTGGAGAGTGCACGGCAGCATTCAGGTTTCCAGGGAGGGCGCGCCAGAACCTGTCAGTCCTTAATGGTGTGTTGTGCCCCAGGTCAGAGATGGTCCAGACGTAATCACCACTGAATGCAAAGGTTTTCCTCCATGGACCTGATTAAACACACAGTGAGGTACTCAAGTCTTTGTGACACATTTTGTGATCCTCTATTAAAAGTCTTTGTTGCTGTCTCATATTCCTTTGAAAACTTAAAAATATACAAAATGATCGGACCTTTATTGGAGCTCACAAATATTGCTAACTTGAGTTTAAATGATTTCATCTATTCCCTGTAAATCATACTAGTTGTGGTCTAATGTAAAGTCAGGCCACAATGCACACAGTTGGGGCTTCTCCTGTAATGATTACCCTGGCAACAGCTTGTCTTACCTAACATGATAGCATCGAGTGTGGCAGTGCAGGGGTCAGGGACGCTCTCAGGATCATGGCTGCTTTTTGTTGGAAACAGACCGTCTGGTGTTGTTGGACTGGCTAAAGTGCTGGTGATGCGCTTGCCTATGTAACAGAGAAGTTTTAGGATGAATGTATGCTTTATTTTGACATTTGAAAACTACTTGAATAATGTTTTTGATTCCATGCAGGTACGGTTTAAAAAGTCAGACTTTTACATGAGTCAGATACCCAGTGGATCAAAAGATGGTGAAATCACAGGTACTTATTCATGCACATTTACAAATACTGATGCAATAAAGTCAAACTGACAGTTCTGAGAGGCCTTCTTGATGCACTCACCATATAACGCCTGGATGCCTCTGATATCATCTGAATACAGTCTGAAGTTGGAACGGTAACCAGAGTAGACTGGAGCCATCAGAGCGCTTCTGTACTGAGAGTGGCCCAGGCCGAGGGCATGGCCAATTTCATGGGCAGCCACAATGCGGAGATTAGCGCCATAATATGTTCCCTCTGTCCAGAACTCATCCTCATCAAAATGGACAATACCAGATTCTGGCAACTCAGCATGAGCGAGTACATGACCTGCACATGGTACAAATAAACAATATGAGTTAGTGTTTCAGGGGACAGTAGGCCCAGTAGTAGTTACGTTTATGTATCTGAATAAAAAACCAACCACGGCCATCGAATGGGTTGGAGCAGGAGTCATCTTTTTTATGGAAGGAGATCTTAATGTCTGCTCTGCCATAGTCGACCTCTCTGAAGGTCAAAGCAGCCACGTCACTCCAGTACTTGAAGGCAGCACGGATGGCCGCCTTCACCTCTGCCCTCTTCATGTCAGGTGTGTAGCTGTAGATGCGGTAAGTCAGACTCCTCTTTCTCCAACGACCTGCAAGAGAAGATTCCTTTTTTTCTCAGTCACCACAACAAAACTGTCTGCCTCCCTAAAAAGTTAAATTTTCTGCATTGGTCAGTGAAATCACAAATGAAGAGAGAAGTAATATTGAACTTTGTCAATTCATTTTCTGGTTCCTTGTTTCGTAATCATTTTATCATCACACTGCAAGGATCACGTTTAATGACTCATAATATTTTTGAGTGCATTTTAAAGGAACACTTCACCCCTCAATTGAACTCTTGTCAAACAATTAGTCACCCTATGTTACATGAATCGGGGAAGAGAACTTTGTTTTTCATGTATGCCCCCACTGTGAACGAAGAATCCAAAATCTGAGAAAACTCTTGATGAATTGAAGTCATAGGGGTCCACGTTTAACAACAGCAAAACTATATCAAAACATTTGTTTAAATACTCTCACTCAACTCATGCAGCCTAATCCAAGTCTCATTTATCCAGACATATGCTCAGTACTTTCCAAAGAGACAGGCCATTCCGATGGGGAACTGAACTAAAGTTGTTCTAAACAATAACCCGAACAAACTACAGATTGCTGTCGGAAATGGCTGTCTGTTTGGACAGACATTATGCGTGAGTTTTGTGAGAGTTTGTAAACTGATGTTTAGATATAGTTTTGTTGTTGTAAAATGCAGATCCCTATTACTTCAATTCATCAAGAATTTTCTTAATTTTAGGATTCTTCGCTGACCATGGAGTCATGCTAGAAAAAAAAGTTTTCTTCACGAAATTCAACATAACACGGGGTGAGTATTTGATATACAAATAGACATTTGGGGTTAAGTATTTCTTTCTTTTCTTTCTTTTCTTTCTGGTTAAGAAAGTTTCAGCAGTCTGTCTTATACAGGTTAGCATTGAGGTGCCTGAAAAGAAGAACGCTGCTGCCTTTAGCGATTCAACGATTTTTTTCCCCCCCAAAGCCTTAAAGGTTTCAATAAATCTGAATCTGGTTGCTGACCCAGACTTTGCCACTTTGGAACAAAATGCCTCACAGTTGTCAAATTCAAAACTCCCAAAGATTTTTGATGTTGTACACACACACACTACAGAACATGTGGTCAGTGTAGGCAACCTGTGCTGTTTACAAAGTTAACATATCTATAGTCTAGTGTCAAAGCATGCACAAAGCAAAGTAGAGATAAACTACTTGCTGACAGTCTTGTAGAGGAGAAAATCAAGATCCTTCCTTGACTCACCCATCACTCTGTATTTGTGGTGTTTCTTGTTGAAGGGGTCCTCCATTCCACAGCGCGGCTGTCTCATCACATCCAGAGTAGCGTCATCTATTTCTCCAGTAGGTAGCAGATCATTCGCCTTTTGGAAGACCCTGAAGACAAGATCAAACATCTGCAAACTGAGGGCTGCTCACATCCTCCTCCACTGGGAGTATCGTTCAGACGGACCCTCATATAGATCTAATGTGCTGTGACATTAACTTATAGTCAGTAGCTACCTATGTTTTCCCTTTAAAAGGGCGCTAATCTTCGTTACCTGAGAGCTTCAATGACCTCCTCCAGGTAATGAGGGTCCTGTGGATCAGTGGGTTCATTCAGGTAACCATACTGCTTCAAATAGGCCTGTGAATGCAGAGGTAAAAAATAAAGCTCTCAACACTTAAAATTTTACTGCAAACTTATTTAGCATTTCTAAA